TACACCGAGATACAAATAGAGGGGCTCGTCGGGAAGTGGCTTTTGTAAGGTCGGTAACTGCAAAAGAACCTGTTTAATGTTGTCAAAAGCATTTTGACATTCCGTGGTCCACTCAAACGGCTTCGTCTTCTTGATGGCGTCAAAGAATGGTTTACAATGGTCCGTGGATTTCGAAATGAATCGATTAAGGGCCGCCAGCCGACCAGTTAAGGCTTGGACGGCTTTGAGAGATGTCGGGGGAGCTAGGTCAAGTATAGCTTGAATCTTAGTAGGATTGGCTTCGATTCCTCTTTGGCTCACCATGTACCCTAGAAACTTCCCTGACCCAACTCCGAAAGTACATTTTTTAGGGTTAAGTACCATGGAGTATTCTCGGAGTATATCAAAGACTTCAGAGAGATGGGCAATATGATCGGGGGCCTGCTCTGACTTCACCAGCATGTCGTCTACATAGACTTCCATGGTATGGCCAATTAAACGAGCAAACATCTTATTGACCAATCTCTGATACGTGGCCCCTGCATTCTTCAATCCAAAAGTCATCATAACGTAGCAATAGAGGCCGCGGGCTGAATAGAATGAAGTATGTTCAGCATCATCTGGATGCATGGGAATCTGATTGTAGCCTGAATAGGCATCCAAAAAACTCATGAGTTGATGTCCCGACGTAGCGTCCACCATATAATCGATATGTGGAATGGGATAGCTATCTTTCGGGCAGGCTTGATTCAAGTCGGAGAAATCTATACAGAGACGCCAAAGGCCGGTTGCTTTCTTAACCAGAACGGGGTTCGATATCCATGTCGGATACTTGGCTTCTTTGACAAATTTATTATCAATGAGCTTATTCACCTCTTCTTCAAGAGCCTTTTGACGATCTGGACCAAATTTCCGACGTTTCTGAATAACCGGTTTGACGGTCTTGTCTAAATTGAGACGATGACATGCCTTCTGTGGGTCGATCCCTTTCATGTCTTCATGTTTCCATGCGAATACATCAGTGTTTGACTGGAGGAATTGAATCAAACTCGATCGAAGGGGTTCCTGTAGGTTGGCCCCAATACGCAACGACTTCTGTTGTTCTGACCCGTCTACGTAAATGATCTCAATATCTTCAACAGGCTCCGCTCGAATATGATGACTCCCGTCTTTGAACTGCATCCTTGGGTCTATATCTTCGTGCTCCTCTATGTCTTTTTCATAGGGAGATTGTTCCTGGCCCAGGATTTCTGTTGATATCTCAGACGAGACCGACGTCGCGGGGATGTCGGTATCAGATGTCGGTACCTGAGGCATGTCGGTATCCGAGGTGGACTGATCAACTTGCTTGGTGCGAGGGGTTGGATCACTTGGCTCAACAAAGGTGTTAACATCTTGTGCTTCAATCATATGAAAGTCAGGCGTGGTTGAGAGCAGCGTTAGACTCCGGGCTTCTCGTTGGTCTCCATAATGAACGCCCTCTCCTTCAATGGTGGGAAACTTCAAGGCATAATGAAAAATCGAGACGGCAGCGCGAAGTTTATAAAGTGCGGTTCGTCCAATTACAGCATTATATTCATTGTGAACATCCAAAACTTTGAAGGTTTCCATGATAATCTTGGACTTCGGCCCAAAGCCTCCAAATCGGATAGGGAGCAATATTTCGCCAACAGGGCAAGAGATGCTCCCATTGAAACCTTGAATCTGATCATTGCACGGCCTAATATCTGCTGGGTCCAAACCCAACTTCTTGAAGGTTCGTAGCATTAAGATACTCGAATACGCTCCTGTATCGACTAGGATTCGATGAACAGGGATTCCGCCAATTGGGGCAGTTATGATGAGAGCATCAGAATGAGGATGAGCAAACAAATTGGCGTCTTCAATGCTGAATGTAATGGGGCAATTCCGTTTATTGATCGTATCCCGAAGATCGACATTCATGACTCGGTTCTCGGCGTTCTGAGCCTCCCGAGCATAAGCTTTAACTTTTCGTCGGGACATATCTGACTGCTTGTTATTGGAGTTGACCCGAGGTATACTACGTGGAAAATCCGCAGAATCATGTGTCTTAGGTTTCCTGTAGTTGTCGGTTGACGTTCCGACATGGGTAGAAAACGTAAAAACTTCCTTATCATTTACACGAGCTTTCTTCTGGTTAGGAGGTCGGTTATCTTCGTCTTCTTCATCTGAAAAATCCAAAGGTCTTCCTTTCCGGCGATTATCAAAATTTCGGAACTTTTGAAGCTGAGGTTGGCCGATTAAACGTAAGAGTGCCGATAAGAGACCGAGGCACTCATCGGTATTGTGCCCTGGAGATTTGTGGTACGCACAGTAGCGAGTTTTGTCCAACTTATCTTCAGGAGTTCTCACTGGCCTGGGGTCTGGAATAATCCCCTTTCCTTTCAGTTCTTCATAGATGGTAGCCGCTCCAGCAGAATAAACAGCGTGGTAACCTGTCCTGACGTTATCCGAATATTGATCTCGCGCAGCCCGGGACTCTGGGGTATTTTCATACCCCCTAGAGGAGTTCCGAAATTGGGACTTTCCAAAGTTCTTTTTGTTTTTCTTCTTAGTATCCGGTTCACCCTTACTTTCTTTTACCGAAAAGTCGAAACTGGGGACCGACATGGATTCTTCGGCAATGATGAATTGTTGAGCTCGTACAAGGAACTCTTGAAACGTTGCAGGCTTATTTTGACATAAGGTCCAACGAAACATTGAATTGGGCCTCAATCCAGCAATGGCGGTTACTAACAGAGTTTCAGGATGACATGGCTCCATATTCTGAATCCGGTCATTAAATCGCGCCACATAGTCTTTGACAGTCTCATCGTCTTTTTGCACGATGTTAGTAATAGATTCTTTTGGAATAAGGCAAATCTGAGCACCGATAAAGTGTGACCGGAAAGCCGCACGTAGTTGCTGCCATTTCCATATCGAATGGGGTGGAAGAGTATAATACCATTTCTGGGCTCGCGGCCCCAGTGTAAGTGAGAACATTCGACACCTCAGAGCATCTGAAGCTCCATGTAAATCCATCCAAGATGTGTAATGACCTAAATGAGCGTCTGGATCCGACGTCCCATCATACATACCGATTTGCGGAATCTTTACTTTGACAGGGAGTGGCTCCGCAGTAAGCTCAGGGGCTAACGGGGAATCTGCCTCAACAACAACATTTCCCGACGTCGCGACATGTCGGGGCGAATCTTCTTGTGACTTCTGTCGCATTTCAAGTTCGGCCAAACGTTTGCGGAGGGTTTCGATTTCCTCCGCACTATGTCTCGAAAGGCGATTGCGCTCAATTTGGCGTCGTAAATCCTCGCGAACGTGAGGTGCTGATGAGACGGGCCTAGGACGAGGGGAAACTCTTTGACGATGAGCAGAGTGACTCTCAGCAGTCATCTCTTGCACAGGGGGTTGATCTTGGGCTTGATTGTTCGTTACGGGATTCACGATCACATGAACTGGTTCTTCTTGACGTGGAGAGGTATGATGAGGTTGGGACGTAGCATGTGACGTCGCCGCATGTGTTTCATGATCATGATGAATATGATTAGGATGCTCCGTTGGGTTAGTAGTCAAGGGCATCGTGCTCGAGTTTCTAGGCATGGCTCGAGCTATTAATGAAGACAAACCCTGTATGAACTCCGGATTTTGAAGGAAGTTTGTAATATTCGCGGCCGGAGGTGGTGGCGTTGTACGCCGCGGGGAATGATTAGTTGAATGGCTCTGTCCAGGGTGTGTAGCATGGTCTCGCCCAGACTGTGACATGATGATTCTGTGTATGCAACTTGTTTAAACAGGGAGTGAAATTCGGCCCTCCTTCTAGCGCCAAACTGTTGTTACATGGAAATTAACAACAACCAAATTGGGGTGTATTTTAAGTAAATCTAAATATTTAGCGATGGAAAGCTTGTATATTATTTCTGGAAATGTAATTTGTAGCAGGGTGGTATTCTTGTTTGTTTGGGAAATTCTCTATTTCCCTTTTATATTTACATACCATAATTATCTGTACAATAATCATTACATTTTGAAAGGTCAAAGGCGGTCCTTGGTGGTTTCTCTTGATAGCTTGCCACTTGGATAAACGTAATGATGAATTATGCTGAGTTGTCGCCGCCTTACCATGCTGAGCTGGCATGTTATAGATATCGGTCCACCCAATTATAACCGGTACGTCGTGGCTGATATGCAGTAACCGACATGTGTTGACCGACATGTTTTGACCGACATGTATTGGCCGACATGTGATATCGGTCAACTTAGGGAAGATGTCGGTTCTTGCTGAATCTTTCATTGTGTAATCATCTTGAAGCTGGTGGAAGTGCCTCGTGCTTGTATGAACTCTAATCATCATCATATTGGTCTCGATCAACGGATTAGTGTTGCTTAATCCGAGTTACAGAAAATGATATCAACATACGGCTTTAGGGTACAATAGATTTGAGCCATTTAATATATATAAATTTTCCCGGCGACCCCATTATTTTCCCGCGACTGGCCGGAGCTTAGACGACGACCAGAAACTCGCCGGAATTTTTCCGAGCACTACCAGTCGCGCCCAGGTCCGTAGGTGTCCTCCCAGAGATTGTAGCCCAGGTCCCAGGTGTTCCTTGCGCGGACCGTCCGCTTGTGCGCAGCCCACCAGATGCGCAGCCCACCAGATGCGCAGCCCGTTCTCGCGAATTCCAGCAGCCCAGGCGTGAGGTCCGTTGTTCCTTACGCGGCCCAGCGTAACGAAGCCCAATCACTCAGGCCCAATTCGTGTGCGATCCAGCTGGAGAAGAGGAGAAACGCGTGGGCCGAGTAGCCCGCGTTTCAGCCCGCGCGTCTCACAGTTGAAGCCCGCGCGCAGTCCGCTAAGCCCGATCCCAGCCCGCGTGATGGCCCAGTGATGAGGGATCGTGATTTTTCCTACGCTTTGTGGATAATCGCGCACTAGGGGCCTTCGACTAAACACGATAGGTGTGACTTCAAGACGCTCTCAGGGCCTTCTCTTAGACACTATTGTATGATAAACACGCACTAATGGCCTTGCTTTAACACACGATGAACAAACGTTCTTTTCTATTAACTCATCAATTCTGGACATCAAAAACAATGAGGGAAGATCCCTATTTATAGATCCTAATTATCTCTAATCCTACTCCAACTAGATCTCTTATTAAAGCAATAAAATATTAAATCTTTAACATATTAGATCTTCTAAAGCAATAAGGAAAAGAAATATACTAGAATCCTAATTAAGCTAATAAACTTGCTCTCCAAAACTCTCTTGCTTGATCCCCAAGTTGGGCTGAACCCTAAGCCCTGACCGCCTCCATCGCACGCCGCCTCGCACGCCTAGTCCTCGGCGGACTCGGCTTCCCACGCGCTGGCCTCGTACACGCGCGCTGTCGCGCGCGCCCCGCCCTCTCCGCCTTTCGCCTGTGCGTGCACACCCGGTACTCCTACTCCTGCACGGTTGATATCCTCGCCCTCTTACGCACAACCCATCTTGCCTACGCATATTCGGTCTAGGCGTTCACTCATTCCGCACGCGTCGCCAACTGCGCACGCGGCTCGCCCGTGCACCGCCTCTCGATCGCCTAGTCCTGCGCGGCCTAGGCTTCGCGCACCTGCACTCCACTCGCGCCCTATTGCGCGTCCACCAATCCCGCTGGCCCCATCGCCGCACGTACCGCCTCACGCCCCAGCGCCCCAATCGCCTACGGCGCGATCATGTACGCCCGATGGGCCCGGCTCGCCTAATGTACTGACCCTCTCCTCGCACCAACCATGCGGCCCAATGCAATCGCCCGTGCACATCTTCCACCCATCTTCCACCCCTTGCGAGCCCATTCTCCTAGCCTCCATGCGCCAAGCACGTCGCTTCCTCGCACAAGGCCCGCACTAATTACTCCTCGCATTAGTCCTCGACTTGCATTGCCCCTTAGCTCATTTTTCCTTGCGCCTCCTTGACCTATCGCCACAACCTCTCGGCCAATCTCGCTCACAAGAGGGTCGATAATCCCCACCATGTGGTCCTCGAGCATGTTCTCTAGCCAAATATCGAGATCATCGCTGGTCTCTTCCTCGGACTCGCAAGGGTTAATGACCACTTCCATATCATTCTCGTCCTCTTCAGGACTATCCTTGTCCTCAAGGATGATGAAATTAATCTTGTGGACTTGTCTATCTATTGGAGTATACAGTAAAGCAAACTTTTATGTGAGCTTTTAGATTGTATTTATTCGATTTCCCATTTAACAGAAATAAATGTTTTCACATTGTTGCATTCTTTATGATTGCTTGAACGATAAATGTCCAATTATCTTATATTGTAGACAATGTGGTGTGTTAGTAGTCACACAGAAGATTACATTGTCGGTTCCTTATAAGATGTTAATGGTATTCACAACTGAGATAGTTATGGACATGACTATCGGTGTAGGTTGTAGTATAAACTGAATATAGCTTGTCTTGGCTATTGGTTTATACTAGTGCGATGCGTCGCATTGAATGGATCACAGTTGAGACGTGTTCTTCTGTTCTGACTGTCATGAAGAACCAAGGTCTCGGTGACTCTACTAATTCTAAACCCTAACTGTGATACTTAGATATATGGGATATTTGTTTGTTACTTTGATTTACCATGGGTGAGAGCCATATATTGGTTCAATATGCTCTGTATCTTGGGTAACAACATTTTCTGCATGATATCTATTTATTGCCATTAGGGCATCGTGTCCTGGACATCCAGGTTGATGATGTCCCCTTAAGAAACTCATAAGGATTATCGTATAAACCCTGCAGGTGGATTTAATCCGTACGATAATCAGGTTGAGTGGTACTACTTAAGGAATAAAAGATATTAATTAATTAAAGCAGTCAGAAGCTTGAATAATAATGGACGTGTGATATCTTAAACACGGGGAATTATATCGAGTCTAATAGAAGCCATGATTCATTTCGGGATAGGACGGAAGTGCAATATTAATTCTCTAGTGGAATGAATTAATATTTATAGGCCAAATTGTGTTCTGGGCTGAACATAAGAATTTGGGCCTGTAGGGAGCCCAAACCCTATACCTTCTAAGAGATCCCTAGTCTGGCCCAAGGACTCTATAAAAGGAGGGCTTGCACACGTTTTTGAACCCTAAGAAACTAATCACGTCTTCAGCCACCACAGAAAACGTGGAAGATTTAGGAAACGTGAGAGGTTCAGAGAAGAACAAAGGCAATCCGCTCCTTGCTGCCGTTTGGAGGATCGTCGTTCATCCGGCATCCAAGCGTGGTCGAGACACAGACTAGAAGAACGCTCAGATCGAATCAAAGCCTCGAAGAACGGTATATCTCTGTTCGTTCTTTAGGAGCATGATTAGTTTTATTTGAAATCATGTATGTACGTGTTTGGTATCTGATATCGATCCGTGGGAAGGACCGCCTCGTCGGCGTGTTCCAGCAATTGGTATCAGAGCCTCGGTTTCGTAGATTATCGGCTCTGCCTGGAACATGTAGTTGATTTCGTTTATTCGTTTCTTCGTTTTCAGTCATGTATGGATGATTGTTTATCTCGTTTATGATAATCATTGCTACTCTCATTATCAAGTGTCAATGTAGCGCTCCGTTCGTTTATTAGAGTATTCCGAATATTATATTATTACTTAATTGCTTATAATTGATTATTTGCCCTTGCTTTATTTATTTGCCGGTTATGGTATTAACTGCTCGACTTGTGTAATCTTCATTAATTTAAAATTCAAATTTAATAGATGTCCTCGTCTATTTAATTTGTTAAATAATTTACGATCCAAAAATTTAGATTTAAGAGATGTTCTCGTCTTCTTAAATTCATTGGCGTGCTCTTGTTTTACTAAATCGTTCTAAGTGTTTTAAATTGATATGAAATTTGCATCTATGCCTATGTGTTATTTTATGTCTAAGTGTAATTCGAATGTAAAATAGTCGGAATTTTTATTTGTTTTAAACATGTAATGTAACGCCCCAAAATTTATTAATAAAGGAGAGATACTAGCTTTTAAATATAAGCTAGTCTTTGTTAATAAATATTCATGTTAATGATCAAGTCTAAGTTATTCAGCTAGTTAAATTCCAAGTTCGCCGTTAAGTCGAAAGTATATCCGGTTGCTTTTATTTATTAACCGAGTCAATGATCGTAATTAATCTCATTCCGTTTATTTAATAAATGGAAATCAGCAAGTCGGGATTTATCATTTGATATCAAGGATATTCGAATTAATTTTCGAAGTCTAGTTCCAACCAAAATCGAGTAAATTTGGTCAACATTCAACATTAATCGAGTTTCTGTGGTTTTGGGATATGTTTTCTAAGTATCCCAAAGCTATATCATTAGTATTATTA